CTTTTATAGATGAATCAACCGTTTTAAACACTGTATTCTTACAGATTTAAGCCTTAGCTGGATACTTCACTTCACTTAGAGCTGTGTTACACACTACATGGAGGGGAATTTTCAAAAACCCATAATATGGGCTCTTTAATTGTCTGTAGCATCAACCTTGTTGCTTTTTGGGGGTCATGTTGAATTGCTATACATTGTACATTATACCTTGGCCCAATAGGCCTATATACTATGTGTATTGAAAGAATACTTATATGAGGTATGAAGTTTAAGGCAGGTAGTCGATAAATATATTGGGTGCATATATTTTTAAGTCAGTGCCTCACAAGCCACAAACCTCCCCGCACTTCACTCGTGTGGTGTGTGTATATATATATACTGATGAGCCAAAACATTATGACCAGTCACATGTGAAGTATTGATTGTCTCCAATCAAGGCCACGTGCTATTGTTTTTGCTAGATTAGATGGGAAGCAAAGTCTTCATATCAATGTGTTGGATGCAGCAGAAATGGCCGGGAGTTAAGATCTGAGTGACTTTGATCATGTCCAGATTGTGGGATCAAGGCAACTTTGTCAAACAGCAAGGCCTACTGTATGGGTTGCTCCAGGTCAGCAGTGGTGAGAATTTACCAACAGCTGTACGAAGAGATACAAACCACAAACCAATGTTAAGGTGTTTGTGCCCAAAACTCACTGTTGCATGAGGGCAATGAAGGCTATCCTCTCTTGGCTGAGCCAAAAATAGGTCTCCTGTATGCTTCATGTCACAAAACATGTCGCGAAAATTAATGACTGTTATTGAAGGAGTGTACTGCATAGGGGCTGTGTAGCTGCAGGCCACATAGTGACCCCTATTCATGGACAAAGGAGTCTAGAATGGACACACAAGCTTTGGAATTGGACCTTGGAGCAGAGTTAAGTGGTCACCTGGTCCAGTGAGTCCTTTTATGTCACAGGGAAAGCCGTTTATTGTGTGTGGTTTACCTGGAGATTTCATGGCACCAGGATGGACCGTTGGACAGCAAGGTGGTGGAGGAGGAGTGAAACTCTGCTCATAATCTCTGATAGGGATGCCAACTTATCATCTTTATTAATGTTTACTGTTTTGGATTTGGGCGAAGCAATTCCATTCAATTCAATTCAGCTTTATTTGTATAGCGCTTTTACAATGTAGATTGTGTCAAAGCAGCTTCACATAAATGGTCATAGTAACTGGAACAGTGTGGTTCAGATTTTAGTGTTTAAGTTCCGTTCAGTTCAGTTTAGCTCAGTTCAGTGTGATTTAATCATTACTGAGAGTTCAAACACTGAAGAGCAAATTCATCAATGCATAGCTCTACCAATCCTGAACCATGCGAGGCAGTGGCGACAGCGGAGAGGGAAAAAAAAACTTTACCTGATAGGAAGCAGTGGCGCCTCACAGCAAGAAGATTGCTGGTTCGATCCTCGGCTCAGTTGGCGTTTCTGTGTGGAGTTTGCATATTCTCCCTGCGTTTGCGTGGGTTTCTTCCGGGTGCTCGGGTTTCCCCCACAGTCCAAAGACATGTGGTACAGGTGGATTGGGTTGGCTAAATTGTCCGTAGAGTATGAGTGTGTGTGTGAATGCATGTGTGGTTGTTTTCCAGAGATGGGCTGCGGTTGGAAGGGTATCCGCTGCGTAACAACTTGCTGGATAAGTTGGCGGTTCATTCCGCTGTGGCGACCCCGGATTAATAAAGGGACTAAGCTGACAAGAAAATGATGATGATGATGTTTTAGATCTACGGTTGATTCCTCCTGATTCATGTTTTCCAAAGAGGAGTGATGTGGGTGATTTGTGAGGAACCTGTCCAAAGGCACTTTGGGGAGCCACACTCACAAAATATTGTACAAAAGGGTCATGTCATGTCAATGAGCTCCCCCTTTGCTGAAATATCAACCCTTGTGTGGACCGAACAGCTCAACTGACTCGCTAAATCATGAAGTCGCTTTTAATTGTTCATATTATTACATGTTACCAGAAGTTTTTTGCCAAATTTTATTGTTTGAATAAGATTAACTAGCTTGTTTTTAGCATGTGCTAGCATGTTTATATATGGATTGGTATATTGTTGTTTATACAATGATTAGTATGTTTTTAGTACAATTCTAGTATGATTAGTGTGCTTGTTAGTATGTTTCTAGTATGGATTAGTATATTTTTAGTGTGATTAGTGTGCTTGTTAGTGTGTTTCTAGTATGGATTAGTATGTTTTTAGTATGATACGTGTGCTTGTTAGTAAGTTTCTAGTATGGATTAGTATGTTTCTAGTATGATTAGTGTGCTTGTTAGTGTGTTTCTAGTATGGATTAGTATGTTTTTAGTATGATTAGTGTGCTTGTTATTATGTTTCTAGTATGGATTAGTATGTTTCAAGTATGATTAGTGTGCTTGTTAGTGTGTTTCTAGTATGGATTAGTATGTTTCTAGTATGATTAGTGTGCTTGTTAGTGTGTTTCTAGTATGGATTAGTATGTTTCTAGTATGATTAGTGTGCTTGTTAGTGTGTTTCTAGTATGGATTAGTATGTTTCTTGTATGATTAGTGTGCTTGTTAGTGTGTTTCTAGTATGGATTAGTATGTTTCTAGTATGATTAGTGTGCTTGTTAGTATGGTTCTAGTATGGATTAGTTTCTAGTGTAGATTGGTATGTCGTTAGCAGGCCTGTAGCCAGCCCGGTGAAAGTAGTAGTTCTTTTTTTCTTAAAAAGGAACCTTTTTGCAATTCCTACGCCTCATTTTCTATTTAATTACGAGATTCAAATGCATTTTAAGCACTATTTTTAGCTAGATTAGCTTGTCGGAGGGTCATCATAACCACACTTTTTGATGTCCAAAAAATATTTACTAAAATTTTTGAATAAAGAAATAATGAGAAATACTTAATTTTAAAATACAAATTTATTACATCATATACTATTAGAAAGAAATGTAAATTGAAAACGATTTGGCAAATTATAAATAACAAACTGGCCAGCACTTTCCCTGTCCATTTGAATAAAAATTATGTAGAGCTTTACTTTTTTTTCTAGTCTCGCTTGTAAAAAAATACATTTGAAAATTTATGGATAACAACAACAGCCAAATTACTATTCAAATACATTTTAATAAGAGCCGTTATTGGTGCTTCACTCCTTCTTATTACTCATTTTTAGTTTTAAGAATAAGGTCCAAGATTTAGAATAACAGTTACTTGTAAAATGTTTTCTCTATTTAAAAACAATACGGTAGTGAAACATGACTTCACTTACGTCAGATTGTATGTTTTCTAGCAGCTACAGTAAATATTGGACTCATGAAAAATAATTGTTTGCATTGGCCAAAACTGATGATTTAGAGTTAGTTTGGTGGTTGTAGTATGAATGGTCTAGGAGGAGATGCGTTTTTAAAAATAGTCTAAGAAAAAGAAGAAGTCTTTGTAGTATAACAGTATGTCGACTTTAATTCTCAAGTCACAATAATAAATATATTCTAATTGTGCAGAACATGTGCATTTCTTTCTTCTGCTTGTTCATCTGTAAGCAACAAATAAAGCTGCACTGTTTGTTTGCTTTATAACTATAACATCAGTGTAAAAGAAGAAAAACCATTAAACATAGAAGTTAAAATGATGTTTATAAAATCTGTACTGTGTTTGGTATTTGATGTCACTGATTACCTTTGGGGATCTTGGTGGGTCAGCATGCAAAGGACCGACATTATATTAGGCAGTAATGCACAATTCCAGAGTAAATTTTCATCATAATGCTATTTATTTATCACATCTTACTAATGTTTGGTTCAAAAGTCTATACATTTAAAATCTTCAATGGTAAGTCGGCTTAGTCCCTTTATCAATCAGGGGTCGCCACAGCGGAATGAACCACCAACTTATCCAACACATTTTTACGCAGCAGATGCCCTTCCAGCTGCAACCCATCTCTGGGAAACGTCCACACACTGATTCACACACCCACTCATACACAACGACGGAGAATTTAGCCTACCCAAATCACCTGCACCGCATGTCTTTGGACTGTGGGGGAAACCGGAGCAGCCGGAGGAGAATGCAGGGAGAATATGCAAACTCTACACAGATACACCAACTGAGCCGAGGATCGAACCAGCGACCTTCTTGCTGTGAGGCGACAGCACTACATACTGCGCCACTGCATCGCCATCTGGTTTATCTTTTTTTTTAAATTAGATACTGATAGATGACACGGTGGCTCAGTGGTTGGTACTGTCACCTCACAGCAAGAAGGCCGTTGGTTAGAGTACTGGCTGGGTTAGTTGGCATTTCTGTATGGAGTTTGCACGTTCTCCCTGTGTTCGTGTGGGTTTCCTCCGTGTGCTCCGGTTTCCCCAACAGTCCAAAGACATGCAGTATAGGTGAAAGGAATACACTAAATTCTCCGTAGTGTATGTGTGTGAATATGTGTGTATTGATGATTCCCAGTTCTGTATTGCAGCTGGGAGGGCGCTCGCTGTGTAAAACACATGCTGGATAAGTTGGCGGTTCATTCTGCAGTGGCAACCCCTGATGAATCAAGGGATTAAGTTGAAGAGAAATTAATGAATTACTAAAAATTTTGTACAAATATTTAGTATGAAAACCTTGTGTTTGTGACCTTGAGCTCGAGTCAGCACTGCTCTTGACCCTATAGGCCTACACTTTTGCATAATATAGTTTTGATATTAATTGAACACAATGATGAAACTGCACATGCTTTCTTAGTTCTCTTTAAGACGTTATCTCATACAATGTTTAACATTTTAAACACCTTGAGAAAATGCAAGCTAAATGCTCCTGCTTAGTGAAATGCCCGAAGCATATATCTGTTGTTCATGCATCAACTCTGCGGTTTGAACTCGGCGCATGTGGCATGTTGTGTGATCTGACGTGATCGCACTGTAACGGAGCAGAGTGGGAGGGATTTGAGGGTGGAGAGGTACCGCGAACGAGAGAGAGAGAGAGAGAGAGAGATCGAGTCCCCCCGCCTCCTCCTCTCCGTCCTCTCCATCCGCGCGCATAGCAGCCCGCGCGGATGCTGCGTCCACGGTCCTCAGCGCGCAGCTCAGCGAGGGGGCTCTCATCACACATCGCATTTAAAACCCAAATACTGCATCACCACGCTTTACCACCTCTTTGATTTACACCTTCAAGAAAGAAGCGTGAAAACAAAACAAAACACCTTTGGCTTTTTTGATACAATTGGTCGGGACGGTCATCTCAAAACGAAGTCTCCATCTCAAATTTTCTCCTCTGCGGAACCTCCATCTAACCAGGCAACAACTGCACTATTTTAGGATCCATCATCTCCATCTGTTGTAAACACTCTTGATGATCACCTGGGTGGTAAAGAACGGCATAATAACAGCTACTGAGTGTATCCAGTCGCTCTTGGATATTCCCTTTTCCCAACAAACCACGGCAATGTCCTTGGAGCATGGCCTGGTGAGTATCTCCTGATTGATATTTACACCAATCAGGGTTTGTTTGCCATGGTAACAGTTGGCACTTCGTTATCATTAACAACCGCTCTCTGTCATCCTGGTAAATCGTCCCCGCATGTGATTTTTTTTCCATTGCAGATACCTTTGTCGTGGTTTTTGATAACTGTCATTCAGCCGCATTGAAGCTTTAATAATCTACTAGTTGTCGAATGGTCCTCAATGACTTGTTTTCCCAGCTCCGAGCTGTTCTGTTGACTATTTCCCGTCGCTTGTGCTTATTAATTGTGTTGGACTGCATGACTTCCCAAGGTGTTTTCTATTTAGTAAATGCACCGCGTTTCTCTCTTATTTTATATGCAAACCATCCAGGTATAGCCTACACACACCATCCAGCGTATGCTGGCGTTGTGCTTTTCCCCAACAGCTCAGTGAGCGTTTGTTTCTCGCACTGGTACCCACACTGGTCACCTTGCGGAGGGGCATTGCGCTTGTTCCGGATGCGAGTGGCGCACCACCCTCTCAGCATCTTCGCGCTAATAATTCAATTAACGACTCGAGCCGCTCACCAGACTCGAAAGAAAGACGTTTTGTTTGTGAATGTATCAGTGACCACAGTGGCGTTGAAGTGAGGACCGCTCTTCCGCTGAAGGTGACCAGTAAAGGTCATTTTACGGTGGAAAACAGCGCGATGGGGAAACGCACCTGAAGGAACGCGCTGCGGGAACTTCACTGTCTGAGTTTCTCAAGATGCTCGGTTTTCCTCGGCAACCGTGCGGAGTTTTTTTTTTCTCTCTCTCCCTTCCTGCTGCAAGGTGTGCGAGTGTGCTGGGTGTGGGACGAGCAGAGGGGAAGGAGAGGAGGGGTGGTTGTAGCCTCGCATGGCTCCGACAGCCCGGTGACCGTGGAGGTGTCCGTAAATCTATACTAGACTCTGATTGGTCATTTACGTTTGATCGTCAACGCAGGATCCCAGTTCTGGGGGTTTACATAATTTCAGAGATTGAGATTGTTGCTCTGTAATTAAGTGGTTCAGAATCGTTTCAGATATTTAGCACTGACTGTGTATCACTCTGTGTGTTTTTGTGCTTGTTTATGTGATTTATGAGGACCCCAATTTTGTATAATGACATGGGTCTTACCTATGTATTACAATGTCAAGGTGGTTTATGAGGACATTGCCTTGTGCCCTTTAATTTAAAACTCTTTAAAATCATACGTAACAGTTTTTTACATTCAAAATTTGCCACAGGTTTTTCTATGAGGGTTGGGGTACAGGTACGGCCATATAAAATGCTGTATTTAGAGTATGAAATAAATTATGCCTATATGGGGAATACTTTTAAATCACAAAAACCAACCTGTTTGTTTGCATGTTCTTTTCTGTAACAAAGTGCTGGTATTACATTCTCAGGCTAATCAATATACCAGGAGCTTGTGTGTTTCTTTGTACAATTCAGAAGGTTTCGGACTGGGTTTTAAAATTGAGCCAGCCAGTGACTTTTAACATTATCAATTTAATCAGTTAGAAATGACCTACAGGAGTGAAATTAATCCCAGGACAGCATTCTCCTGGGGTGACAGTACAGGTTGTTAGAGTTAAAGGCAACATTCACCCCAAAATGTGTTCACTATTTACTCACCCTCAAGTGGTTCAAACCTTTATGAGTTTCTTTTCTATCAACTCAGAATAATCCAGTAGTCATGGGGATCTTTAGAAAAGAAAAAACTGAGATGTGCATTCATTATGCTGCTCGCAAACTGTGTGTGTGTTTGTGTTTGTCACAAATCCACACAAAATAACCTGCATTCATTCATGAATAGCTTATAGGTTATTTTCGTGTCAAATATAGGCATTTTTGAACATTCTTAATTACAAAGAAACACCAAGCAACTTGCTGAATTAGATTTTAGATGTAATGGTGCTGTGTGGTGTTCGTCATGAAATTAAGAGACCACTTGAAAATTCTGTATTTATTGTGTATGCTAATATTTGTTTTATTCTGTAAATGTCTGATTTACTCCAAACTTTAAATGATATTGTCATTTATATTGTTTTTTTTTAGAAACTTGCTTAGAAGAACAATCTGTGTTCATTTGTTGTGAGTGAATCAGGGTTATTCCACCCAATATTGATTTTAACACATTGGCATTGTGCTGATTATAAATGACTGAAAACATAACACTTTTTTGATATTTATGCATTAAGATATATTCTAAATAACAAGATTTTTTAATTTGAATTTGGAAGAAGTGTCATATCTAGTATTTTACTCAAGCACCAGTAACCTTTTATTCAGATATAAAGTGAGAAAATAAAGTGCTCTCTTAGTTTCCTCCCATAGCTACAGTGTAGATAGCAGACCCTAGCAAAGAGTAATGTTACAATAGCATAATTTTACACAGTAGTTTCATAAACTAATTTCAAACAGACAAATACTAGAATATTATTTAAGAGTTTAGCATACCATTTATGCTATAGGAAAAAGTGCCTGTAAACTTCACAGAAAGATGAAAGAGTTGCTGGTGCTCCAGTTCTCTGTCCAGGTTGCCCCAGTTTAAATGCGGTTGAGTTGTTGCAGCAATAATGGAAGTCGACCTAGATGATGTCTGGACAAAACTGCATTAAAAACGTAAAAGTAAAAAATACATATAATAATAATAATAATAATAACAATAATAATAATAATAATAATAATAATAATAATAATAATAATAATTTTCCATATTATATACAGTTAAAGTGAGAAGTATTAGCCCCCTTTGATTTTTTCTTCTTTTTTTAATATTTCCCAAATGATGGTTAACAGAACAAGGAGATTTTCACAGTATATCTGATAATATTGTTTTATTTCGGCTAGAATAAAAGCAGATTTAGATTTTTTAAAAACCATTTTAAGGTCAAAATTATAAGCATTTTTAAGCTAAATTTTTTCAGTAGTCTTACTAGTCTACAAAACAAACCATCGTTATACAATAACTTGCCTAATCACCCTAACCTGCCTAGTTCACCTAATTAACCTAGTTAAGCCTTAAATGTCACTTTAAGCTGTATAGAAGTGTCTTGAAAAATATCTAGTCAAATATTATTTACTGTCATCATGGCAAAGATAAAATAAATCAGATATTAGAAATGGGTTATTAAAACTATTATGTTAAAAATGTGTTGAAAAAATCTTCTCTCTGTTAAACAGAAATTGAGGGAAAACAAAACAGGGGGGCTAATAAATCAGAGGGTTTAATAATTCTGACTTCAACTGTATTTAAAATTATATAACATCGATACATTTTATTAAATACATTTTTACACGCACACAAGTTGCAGCTCATCTTAACACATGAACAGCAAAGCTGATGCTCGATTAGATAAAGTCTGTAGTCCAAGACATGGTGAAATAAATGACCCACAAGATTATGGTTCATGCATTTATTACATGTTGATGTCATTAAAAAATGACTTTAGCCTGTTTGCTGCGCATAAATAGAACAAAACTCATCCCATCCCTGTGCATTCAGTCAACATCCCCAGCAGCGTCTGGGCCATGAGCATGTATTTAGAATCGAAGCCGAGCAGCTTATGTTACTCCCCACAGGCTCTTACGCCAATGCAGTCCATGTCTCGCTTTGAAAGCCTTAAACCAGTGTAACGAATACAGGCCACTGCAGTGAAGGTGGATGATGGGAGGAGGTAAAAATGGAAGAGCAAAGAACAGATGGACAAAGAGAATAAGATTGAGGATAATGGAGTGCGTGTGGAGGGGGAAGTGGAATCCTATGAACTTATAATGACAGGAGGGATGTTCACTTACAGTAGCACCACTGAGTGGTTTTGTGCACGCAAAGACATAATCATAAATGAGGTCATTCAAGCAGGTTTTGTTGTTGAGGAATGTGCAAAGAAAAGTTCAAATATCACAGATGAGCACTGCAAGGTTAGTATGTTAGCGTTTTGCTAGGCTAGCAAGTGCACACAAAAGGCAGGCCTGTAGCCAGGGGGGGTTTGGGTGATTCGAAAGACAGACCCCAAACTGACAAAGGTCCAGAATTTGTCTCATACATGAGCTCATTTGTCCTATTTTGACTGCTATGCCATCATAAATTGTTAAAAGATTCTGACGTAAGTGACACTACTGACCGACTGTATTTTTTTTAAATAGAGAAAACATTTTACAAGTAAATTTTATTCTAAATCTTGCACCTTATTCTTGAAAGAAAGGGGACCAATGTAAAGATGAGAAGCACCAACAGTAATTTTTGAAGCATATAAAAGTTAATTTTAATATTATTATTATTATTATCATCATGTACAGTTATAATTATTTGGACATTGACACAATTCTAACATTTTTGGCACTATACACCAACACAATGGATTTGAAATGAAACAAACAAGATGTGCAGACTGTAGACTGCAGAATGTAAGCTATAATTTGAGAGTATTTACAGAACATTCATATCAGGTGAACAGTGTAGGAATTACAACAGTTCGCATATGTGCCACCCACTTGTTAAGGGACCAAAAGTAATTGAACAATTGGCTTCTGAACTGTTCCATGGCCAGGTGTGTGTTGTTCCCTCATTATTCCAATTACAATGAGCAGATACAAGGATTTTTAAGTGTGCTATTTGCATTTGGAATCTGTTACTGTCAAATCTCAAGATGATTTTTATTATTCAAGTAGCCAAATTATGACTGAAGAAAGTTAAATGTGCTGGCCAGTTTGTTATTTGCTTAATAAATGACAATAGGCTACTTTGCCTTAATCGGCAGTTTTTAATTTACAACTTGAACAGATTCCTTTTTTTCTTAATGATATATGATAACATAATACATATAAATATGTTTTCCCCTCTTATTCCTTTATTCTAAATCTTTAGAAAATGTGTATGGTATATCAAAAAGTGTGGTTATGATGACCATCCGACAAGCTAATTTAAAAATAAATAGTGTTTAAAATATCACTAAAATGCAGTAGCTATTTAAACTCTGTAGTTAAATAGATA